CTTTCCCCACCATGACACCATCACCGCTTGTTGTTTTCTGATTCATACAAAAGAAGTGAAATAGAAATTTTTGGAGGTATAAGACTTTAGTGTATATGAAGAAATACTCTTGATTCATGTGATTTAAATAAGGCGAATTTTAGAGAAAGCAACAAATTTAATTATTCTTGTATTTAACAAACAGAACTAATTTTGGGCATCTGAACTGCCTTAATTAAATAAGCTTGGGTCAATATGTCAGACTGCAAGAAGACAAGTTATATGTCTTTTTTTGCAGTGTATGTATAAAAGTAGTAATAAATAATACATATACTATGAGATATAATTGAAAACACTAATTGTAATGGAGGAGTATGTTGCAGTTGCATTGTTTTATTTTGTTTACAATGAATGAGATGGTGTTTTGAGTCAGTTTTGTCACATAATAACCAATCTAACTCTTTCACTCATAACATCATTACTCCTTTGTTGATGCAGGGTCACATTAAAACAGAAATCTGCTTTGCACTGTCAGCCACTCTTTGTCAAGTCCTGTTATCTGCTGTGAGCTAGGAACCATCTCTTCTCATATTTGCATTCACTTCACTGACATGTGTATGAGACAACACTTAGACCCTGATCTTCTGTAAGGAGGCGAGACATTTTTAAGCACTGTTCAAATCTGCCAATCAAGTCACTCAGTTAATACTGTCACAGAAAGGGCTACTTCAATTTAAACCTGAATGTTAATATCCCTGTTTTGATATTATACATTAGGAAAACTATGCCTTTCAAATGAATGCATTCCCTTTTGAGTTTCTTGGCATTTTCTCTCAATATCCCTATAAACCTTTATCTGTTTTATTGGATATTTTACTACAGACTTTCCAAAAATTAGCACATCTCTTTAAAGATGAAGAAACGAGACACATATTATTAAAGTTTAAAGCTCTACAAATAAAATCTGAGAATTGTGGTGTGGCCACTACTCTGACACCATTTAATAAAACCACTAAACCACTTTAGAATTCACTAAAATACTACCTGAAGTCCATTTATATGTAATTCATAATCAGTAGCTCTAAAGAAGGCCTCATAAATTTGTTAGGGAACTTTAGCAACCATATTGCAATATTATGACTTCTATTCTAAATCATGTATGTGGTGGGATAAAAAAATTTTTTTTACATAATTTCCACAATGAAACATTATAGAGCCAGTGTAATGTTGCATGAATTATTTGAACAACTGGCAGCTCTAGACCAGAGGATTTTAATGGGGGTTATTTTTAAGTACTTGTCAAAGTAAATTAAAAAGCTTTCATAAAATAAATTTATTTTCCTTCAATTTTAAGCAGGTGAATTAGATGAACTGCCTAAGGAATTAATATATTTGCTGTTATAATAGGACAATCCGATACAATGCACTTCAAGTAGGGTAATGGAGTTGTTTTTGTTATCTTTTTTAAATGAATAATCGGATTCCATTGGCAAATTGTCTTATTTATCTGCTTATATCAAGGGAAATGCACATAACTGAACACAAAAATAGCAACAACAAAAAAAAAAACTTTTGCAGCATTTCTTTTCAGTACAGGGGCCATGGTGTGTTCTTTAGGGCACTGGTCCCTGGCCTTGGCAGGTAGCCGCTCACACTGAGCCCGATTCTGCTGGAGGTTTCTTCCTGTTAAAAGGGAGTTTTTCCTCTCCACTGTCACTGCAAGCATGCTTAGTGTAAGGGATTGCATTTGAGTCAATGAGTCAATGCAATCAACTGGTTTTCCTTAGATAGAAAACTTTGAATCAATTTGACTGTATGATCTGGTGAAATGTAAAGTGCCTTGAGATGACATGTGTTGTGAATTGGCGCTATAGAAGTCAACTGAATTGAATTGTTGGCTCCTGTCTGGAATCACCCATTCTTTGAATGGAGAAGCGGGTCATAACTGATGCAAAGGTGGATGGAACTTAATACAAGAAAATATCTCCCGAATGCCTGATAAAGACTGTAAAACCTTTTGCCCTCGGGCAGAGCGCCATCCATCCATCGATCCATCCATCCATCCATCGATCCATCCATCCATCCATCCATCCATCCATCCATCCATCCATCCATCCATCCATCCATCCATCCATCCATCCATTTTCTTTCATCTTATCCCAAGCGGGGTTGGAAGGGCTGCTGGTGCCTATCTCAAGCTGTCTACGGGTGAGAGGCGGGGTACACAACATAACCTTGTTGCACCAAACTACTGTAGGCCTACTACAAAGTCTCTCTCCCGCCAATCTGACTGAGATTGAATTGTTTTACAGAGAATAAGAAAGTATTTTGGTCAATGGGGCATTTGAGTCAGGGGCCATAAGGGGTCAGTTCCCCTTGCTGACTTTGTCCTGGCCACTGTTTTAAAGACATAATTCTAAATAAAAGATACAGGGATAATGAACTTTATTGGCCATGACAAATGTAGATTAGAAGTAAATAGAATCTGTATTTAACTCATGCTTTGGAGCAGTCTAAAGAGCAGTGGTTAACTTGAAGGACCCAGGCGTCTGGCAATAGCTCAGGGAGACAGTGTGGGCTTCTGGAAGCCACCTCAGTGTTTCACCCCCCGATGCTGGTCATACTGGCCCGTTTTATTTTGTTTTACCTTGACAGTTTTATTTTAATACTCATTTAAAATTAAAGGTAGTGTATTTTTAGCTTCAGCCATGTCGAGGTTGGACCACCCTTTAAAGCAGGGGTTTGCAAACTGCAACTCCAAACCTTTTTTTTTTTTTTTTTTGCAACGTGAATACATATGAAAAAGTAAAGAATATAAATTATTTTGCAAATAACTGTATATACTATTTGCTGTGTGGAAAAACGCATAATATAAAAAAAAATACTTAGTTGCTTTTATGGAATTACAGGGTTCTGCGTAAGTCAAAAAATATATGTAAACTAACCTTGTGCAGCGTTTTGGAAAGATATTTTAATTTTGAGAAAGATTTGATCCATCCAGGTCAGGACAGGACAGGTCAGGACAGGGGAAGTGTTGTTTTATTGTCTGCCTGCTGGGCGCCGTGGGGCGGTGAAACAGAAATGCCCCGCCCCCCTGCCTGCTGCTGAACACGGAACTCAACGCACCGCTGCTGCATCTCTGAGGAGGAACGCGGTTTAAACGTTATCTCAACTAAGAATACCTCATTATAGCTGTACCGACAGGTGTGTGGTCGTCTTTAATGTAAGTTATACTGTAAATTCATTGCTATAAAACCGGTTTTTTAAAGAATAGTGTTGTTAGCCTGTCAGTAAAAATAGCAGCTATCAATACTAATGCGTTCACCCTGAAGCTAGCAGGCGTTAGCTGCGAAAGATGACAGATAAATGAACAGATTAATAAACCTGAGCCATAACAAGGCTTAGTTAATATCTTTTTTTTCAGAAAGCTATTGCTTATAAGTTGTACTCGTGATTTAAACAACTATAATGGTTTCTCTCTTCAGACTGCTGCTATATACGTCAACTTCAGGCTAAAAACAAACCAGCGAGGTTCCTATTTATCAGCAGAGTAAATGGGACTTCACGATTTGCTGTGGAATATATATATAAAAATACTGTAAAATCACAAATTAATCATGTTTTTAATCTTTGCTATTGCTGATAATGTTAAAGACATATCTTCCCTGGCGAGATGGTTAAATTTAGAACAATACCTGGCTTTGTTTACCTTTGTTTATTAAGAATCTACATTTAAAAAGACCTGGAGCTGTCACCTTATTTTTTCTGATTGCTAATGGCAGAATATTATGGCCACTATTCCTTCTCCTGTTTGCTGGTGGGATAAAAAACACACTTAAAACTGAAACTCCAGTCTGGAGAAAGGGAAGGCCAAGACAGAGGATTAAAGTTAGTTTAACTAGGGTCAAATCATAACCAAAGGAGTGTGTGAGAACAACTTCAAATCAACCCTCTCAGTATTCCAGGTCTGCAGGGTTTTATGGAGGTCTTATGGAGAATCATGGTTGGACTAACAGTCAAGCTGCTGGAGCTACTGGTGAAGAAGTTAATGCTGGTTTTGATGGAAAGGTGTAAGAATGCACAGTTTGACATGTGAGCATCAATCAGATCTGAACCAATAAATTGAAAAGGAAAGTTTATTCATATTGCAGTGCTGTATGATGAAACAAAGTTGTAGTGGCATAGAGGAAACCCAAATATAGAAAATAAAAGTGAAACATTGAAACACAAAAAAAAAAAATAATGGATGATAATATTAATAATAATTGAACTTATTGATCTCACATTGGAGAAATGTATCTCTGCATTTAAGCCATCCACTTTGGGGAGCAGTGGGCTGCCATTGTGTGGTGCTAGGGGAGCAGTGTGGGGTTAAGGGTCAACTGATGAAGAAGATGGAATAGAAGTTAAACTAGAAACTTAAATTCTACTGTTTAAATAGCACAGTCAAAGGCAGCTCTAAACAGATGTATTTTTAATCTCAGTTTAAAGCAAATTAGGGTTTTACCTAGGGCTGCAACAACGAATCGATAAAATCGATAAAAATCGACTTTTAAAACCGCTGGCAACAAATTTCATCATCGATTAGTTGTGTCGCGCGATTAATGCGTCATCCGCCGCGCCGTCATCACTGCCTCTTGCCTGAAAGAGGAAGNCCCTTTAAAGCAGGGGTTTGCAAACTGCAACTCCAAACCTTTTTTTTTTTTTTTTTTGCAACGTGAATACATATGAAAAAGTAAAGAATATAAATTATTTTGCAAATAACTGTATATACTATTTGCTGTGTGGAAAAACGCATAATATAAAAAAAAATACTTAGTTGCTTTTATGGAATTACAGGGTTCTGCGTAAGTCAAAAAATATATGTAAACTAACCTTGTGCAGCGTTTTGGAAAGATATTTTAATTTTGAGAAAGATTTGATCCATCCAGGTCAGGACAGGACAGGTCAGGACAGGGGAAGTGTTGTTTTATTGTCTGCCTGCTGGGCGCCGTGGGGCGGTGAGACAGAAATGCCCCGCCCCCCTGCCTGCTGCTGAACACGGAACTCAACGCACCGCTGCTGCATCTCTGAGGAGGAACGCGGTTTAAACGTTATCTCAACTAAGAATACCTCATTATAGCTGTACCGACAGGTGTGTGGTCGTCTTTAATGTAAGTTATACTGTAAATTCATTGCTATAAAACCGGTTTTTTAAAGAATAGTGTTGTTAGCCTGTCAGTAAAAATAGCAGCTATCAATACTAATGCGTTCACCCTGAAGCTAGCAGGCGTTAGCTGCGAAAGATGACAGATAAATGAACAGATTAATAAACCTGAGCCATAACAAGGCTTAGTTAATATCTTTTTTTTCAGAAAGCTATTGCTTATAAGTTGTACTCGTGATTTAAACAACTATAATGGTTTCTCTCTTCAGACTGCTGCTATATACGTCAACTTCAGGCTAAAAACAAACCAGCGAGGTTCCTATTTATCAGCAGAGTAAATGGGACTTCACGATTTGCTGTGGAATATATATATAAAAATACTGTAAAATCACAAATTAATCATGTTTTTAATCTTTGCTATTGCTGATAATGTTAAAGACATATCTTCCCTGGCGAGATGGTTAAATTTAGAACAATACCTGGCTTTGTTTACCTTTGTTTATTAAGAATCTACATTTAAAAAGACCTGGAGCTGTCACCTTATTTTTTCTGATTGCTAATGGCAGAATATTATGGCCACTATTCCTTCTCCTGTTTGCTGGTGGGATAAAAAACACACTTAAAACTGAAACTCCAGTCTGGAGAAAGGGAAGGCCAAGACAGAGGATTAAAGTTAGTTTAACTAGGGTCAAATCATAACCAAAGGAGTGTGTGAGAACAACTTCAAATCAACCCTCTCAGTATTCCAGGTCTGCAGGGTTTTATGGAGGTCTTATGGAGAATCATGGTTGGACTAACAGTCAAGCTGCTGGAGCTACTGGTGAAGAAGTTAATGCTGGTTTTGATGGAAAGGTGTAAGAATGCACAGTTTGACATGTGAGCATCAATCAGATCTGAACCAATAAATTGAAAAGGAAAGTTTATTCATATTGCAGTGCTGTATGAGGAAACAAAGTTGTAGTGGCATAGAGGAAACCCAAATATAGAAAATAAAAGTGAAACATTGAAACACACAAAAAAAAAATTAATGGATGATAATATTAATAATAATTGAACTTATTGATCTCACATTGGAGAAATGTATCTCTGCATTTAAGCCATCCCCTTTGGGGAGCAGTGGGCTGCCATTGTGTGGTGCCAGGGGAGCAGTGTGGGGTGAAGGGTCAACTAATGAAGAAGATAGAAAGGAAGTTAAACTAGAAACTTAAATTCTACTGTTTAAATAGCACAGTCAAAGGCAACTCTAAACAGATGTATTTTTAATCTCAGTTTAAAGCAAATTAGGGTTTTACCGCTTATATGACTTTCTGGAAGCTTATTCCAGATTTCTGGAATATAGGAATTAAACATTGCTTTGCTGTTTTTTGGTTTGTGGTTCCAGGGAAACGAAGCATATTAGAGCCAGAAGACCTTAGAGGTCTGGCTGGTAGATTCACTGATAGCAAGTCTTTAATGTGTTTTGCAGTGTAGCCATTCAGAGATTTAGAAACTAACAGACGTATTTTAAAGTCAGTGTAGACTTTAGAACTGGGTTTATGTGCTCCACCTTCTTTGTTTGAGTGAGAATCTGTGCAGCTGCAACCTAATGAGCCCAAATCACTACATTTGCTATCCATTGTTAATGTTTTCTTGAATTTGTTAATACATGTTTATTTTTGTTCAGTTTTAGATTTGTGTAACATGTATTACTATTGTGTTTTAATAATCAAAATGGAGGGAGAGAAAGCAATACCAGTCTACAGAATCTGCCCCCTAATAATCTGCATCATATATGGTGGATCGGTTAGACTGATGTCAAATTATTCAGGATCCGCTTTAAAAAACCTTTTATCTGTCGATCTTAAGTCATGTTCCAACATTTAATAAATGAAAGTTTCTTTTAAACATCATTGTGTTTGTAGAAATTGATGCATGGGATCAATCTAGCAATTCCTTCTTTTTTTGTAGGATAGTTGAGATATTTTTTTCCAAGGCCAATGCTTGTATTAATTGAATAGTGAATACATTACAATGTTTTCACAAAAGCACAATCAATATTAGCCAGTAGAGGCCTGATTGGCTCATTAATCAGGCTGAATCACATTTTCTCCTTGCTTGTGTACAGATTTAACTTATGTTGAGTTGGACAGTCAGAGATGACTCTTTGGGGGTTACTACACTGTCCTCCTGGATATCACCTGTGATTACCCCAATGTCTATGATGTCCTTTATTAAAATAAACGTTGCTTAGACTTTGCAATATTTGGGCTCAGCCTCTTGGAAATTTGTTTTTGGTCAGTTCCTTAGCTGCCAATACATCAGCAAAGTTTGAAATGATTTTTAATTGGTGTAGCCATTAAGCACAGATGGTTTGTTATGAAGCATCGTCTTGGCTTGTTTAGCCACCTTCAAAGCATTCTTGCCGAGGGATTGGCTAAACCATCTGTCTGCCACTATAGCAGCTCAGTTTCTACAAGATCAAAAAAAGGAACAGATGGTTAAAACGTCTATTTGTTCCCTCTTAATGTGGAGATTCTCAGCATTTTCTAATAATTAGTGCTACAAAGAAAACCAGGCATTGTTGACCCACCCTTGACTGCTTGCGTAGGATGATGCCGCAATGGTTGAGGAGCGTTAGCTGAGCCCTAGACTAGGTCAGCTTTGTCCTAATCATGATGCGAGGAATCCAGCTGTGCATGCTTTGCTTCTACATGAATTACATCTGTCCAGCTGTTTGGGTCTTAGAAGGAGAATTTCTCCCAGAGAGAAGCAAGAAGTAGAGTTCCTTTATATTAGAGTGAATAACAAATTTTGGGTAATTTTACAGTTTTTAGTCTTGATGGTGCATTATTCTATTGTAGAATTATTAGTAAAACTCAGTGAGATGTTTTATAACCTGTACAAAGAAGGTTACAGTATTGTTTGGGTCATAATAAATGTTTTTTTGGCCAAGGATTCATCCCTAGTTTGACAGCTGCATGTTCAATTTAAATCTTTGGTCTAAATTCATCTGTTTTTTGGGAGTTTTGAACTATGACTGGAATGATCCCCATTTGTTTTAGCTTTGTAAAGATTTTTCTCAGAACTGTCACAAAAAATTGATAAAATCTGTTTTGAAATTCATTGGAAAATAGGAAGGTTTTGGACTTACAATATCTTCATTAAATCTGAGACAGATCCTTTTATATTGAGTAATGAATTATTGAAATATTCATAAACTGATTAAGTATTCCGTTAATCGTTAACTAGAGTCTGTAGATTCTGAAAATAAATACCAAAATATACCCTAATTCCATATTTTTATATAAGGAAAAATAATATTTTATATCGTATGACTGACTTTATATAAAATAGCTTGATACATGTACTGGTGGCACTTCTTAGTTTTGAAGTATTTAATTATTAGGAAACAAAGCCATCTGATTTGTCTGTGTTTTTTTTTTTTGGTGATTTTACCTGCCAATTAATCATGTCAAGGGGAAACTGTCTGATTACAGCTCCTGGCTGATTGATTGGGGCTTATCTACATCTTAAGCGTATAAACAAGGGATGTTGTGTCTTTTAAGGACCTGTCTTGGTACTGCTGATTATAAGACCGATGTACATGGTGGTCTTTCTCATGTTTTTTTGATCAGCTGTTCAGAGTTGGATTTATTTCCAAAATATTGTTTCCATGTTTTCCTTTCCCATCATGATCAACAAGATAATTCCATTATTACCAGTGACTCACACTTACCTTTAATTTTTGAAGATGCCCTTCCTCTTTTCCAGTTTATCCTCTCCAAATTGTGATTGGTTTGTTTGATATCTTCCTAAGTCCTCTTTTTTTTAATCTGAATCATATCGCACATCAAGTTTTAAAACTCCTACTTGTTTTTGGTCTGTAAATACAAAAATTAATGGCTGGTTCACTGATTACCTTTATTTTGAATTTAGCAAAAAGAGACGGTATGTTTCCATAATTGAGAGTAATCGTTTAATCCCCTTATCCTTTGCTGTAATGAAAATACTACATCAAGCAGCAACATTGTTTTCTTTATTATTAATGTTTGTTGCATTTCTTGTTGACTTGGATGAAGATTTGTACAAATAAGTTTTAGAAGCTTTAAAAATTCCATAGACAATTAAAAGTTAAATTCATGAAGTCAGGCCCCAATGAAAAGGAGAAATAGGTAAGGATCCTTTTTCATAAGGATCCTATGTCTTGCTTTTTAAGCTCCTTGAGTGAGCCACTAGTATCAGCTCACGCAGTCCACTGGATCAATCCATTCAACTCAAGCAGATTGCATGCCAAACAGCAGTCTGTGGACCAACCAACTTCTTCCATCTCCACTCCACCACCAGTTTCAGGCCTGGGGGGAAACATCCCTGTTCTCTATTCTTGTTCATGCATATCAAACAAAATTCAGTGCTAACGTTTCCTGCCGAGGTCTGAGCGCCAAAGACTAAAGTAATTGTGTCAATAAAATTCTTCTAATTTCCTTTTTCTTTCCGTATGAGTTTTTCCAGATTGAAATGCCCTTGAATAATTTTTTTTCCAGTGTTCATTATGGCAGGACTGCTATTGTATGAAAAAGGGATTACTTTTAGCTTGGATCCATGGATCTCCATGCTAGGTGCTACTCTACCTTTCTGTGTGACTGCAAATCCACTGTAAACACATTGCTGTCACCCAAAGGGCTATAAGGAGAAAGTTAGAGTTTCAACTCTTATGTGTGACAAGACCAGAAAATGAGGGCCCCTATGATTTGGAAATGAATTTTTAGCATTGCAATTTAAATGCAAATCCAGTTAATTGTTCAACCCTACAAAGAGCTGTTTGGAGTGCTATAGCAGCTAATGGATTGCAAGTGTTGTGAGCATGCATTTTACAGAGCAATATAATGTCTAGCCAGGTGGACAGTTACATGGCTGCACGTTATCACACTGGACACAAATGACATTCTCCAAAAATGCTAAAGGTCACAGAATGACAAAGAGGGGATAGTAGAAAATATGCATATATCTCAGCTGATATCATTACCATAGAATTCTCTAGCGGTTTGCCATGAATAGATGTTTTCGTCACGCAGCCTTTATCTAAGCGAGGTTTCCTTCAGCCTTCAGTTTTTTAAGCTACTGAAAGCTACAAGAGGCGTGCTCGGTGTCCGTTTTCTCTGATTAATCAGTTTGACAGTTGATGCCTGAATTGTGACATTAACAGTTGGTTGATTTAGGCCTCTATGATGTTAACTCCTCCAGCCCGTAGTTTAAAATGCTCCCATATGGGACCTCCAGGCGCACTGCTGCAGAACTCTGCTTAATTGTTAATCATCTTTCCGTGACAGGACTTAAGAGACAGCCCCGCTCAAAATGGATTCTGGAGCTTAGCTGCAGCAGTAGAAATTAGTTTCAGCATTGCTCTGAGTTAAAGGAGGATTCTAGGATATTTATGCACTGATTTGATAATGTCTGGCTTTGCCTCTTGTGCATTGTAAAGGCAGTTTCAGAAAGTGAACTGCTCATTGCATTTAGTGTATTTATTTATTTTCCTGCTAAGACCTTTCAGAGCTTGGCTTTGGTTCTAATTGAAGTAATTGTTCTCATAAATATTTACTGAATAAGCAATCGTGTGAAAATATTATAGGCTATTTACTTGACTGTAGAGTCCAGTAGAAAACAACAAAAGTCTATCGGCCTGAAAGAAGACGTGTATGAGCCATAAGAAGTACAGAAGAGGCACTTGAGGTAAACGGATATATGTTTGGTTCTGATTATTTGTAAAAATGTACTTTAGGGGCTAAGATGTAAGTGTAAGACATAACCTAACAGGCTTATACGTGCCTTTAGTCTGTGTGGCTCAACTACTCAGGTTTTGTTGTGTTCAACTTCCACATTAAGCTAAATAAACACATAATATGGTCTATATAATAGACTAACGCCAGTGTGTTTTATACCACCTGGGAAAAACAAAACTTAAAGAAAAGATGTCCTCCTGCTTCATAAACTGTGCCCTTAGTGAGGTACACCCAGCTTTGGTCTTCCTGTAATGTTGCTTCTTTCTCACATTGATGACTGTGTGCTTCATGATGGACAGTTGCAACCAGCTAACATTAAGGTTGGTTTATGCTCATCAATGTTCTATCTGTAATGTTGCCAGCACAGCATTTGCAGCATTATTTTCTCGGCAGCTTTCCCACGCTCTGCCCAATACTCCAGTATATGCAGGGGTTTCAAACTCAAGTTCTGGAGGCCCGGTATCCTGCAAGATAGATCCATGATCCCACACGCCTGGATCAAATGGCTTAATTACCTCCTCAGCATCTAGTCACGTTCTACACAGTTCTACTGACGATGATCTGATTTAGGTGTGTTGAAGCAGAGTTGCATCTAAAAGGTGTAGGATACCCGGGGTTCTGTCAGATGAGAATACCCGGTCAGACCAGTATACACAGTCAATACCCAGTTATCCCTTTAGTTTATCCCCGTTTATACCTTTAGTTTTGTATGAAAAATTTTAAACTACCTCGACGGGAGTGTATCCCTTTAGTCATGGATAAAAAAACTATTTACTTACTCACTTTTTGGTGTTTTTTTTAAGCGAATGGAGATCTGACCTTAAATTGTTTTTTTTGTGTATATATCTAAAGGGATAAACGCACGTAGAGGTAGTTTAAATTCAAATTTTCATAAAAAACTAAAGAGGTAAACGCAAATCTGACGTCTTGCACATGCGTATTGACTATGGGTATGCTGGTCTGATGAAGTATGCTGTTCCAACAGAACACCGGCCCTCCTGGGCTGGAGTTTGACATCTGTTCTTTAGGGGCAGACTGCCATGACAGTTACTTCTTTCCAAAAGGTGGTCCACAATGTGAGGACTTTGGGGGAACATATGAGCCAGTTCATAAGATGTCAGTAGATGTTCATATTTGCAGAGCCCTGCCATTAGGAGCTGTTCCTTGTCTGCCATATTGTTCTGCGGTAGATGGTCCGTGTAGTAACAGACTTTTTTAAGAGTAGTGGTTCATAAAACGTGGGCTTTATAAAGGGGTGTTTGTGCTATAATCAAACTGCATAAATGTGGGACATTCACTTTAGTGCAAAGCATGCAGTTAAAAGTGAATGTAACCCTGACTATATAATAACTGTATACATGTGTTTTTTTGAAATCTGTCAATCTAATCACACCTTGAGTGACCACTGTATTCTCTCCCTGCAGCATGTTCCGCTTGCGGGCTCTGGCCGCAGTTTCAGTGGGGCTGACCCAGCTGTCCCGCCGCTGTCACAGTGGGGCAGTCGGGGGTTCTGGCAGAAGGAGGCTGATGCTGGCCGCTCTGGCTGGTGTGACTGGTGTGTCTGCGAGTGCTGGACTTCTTTGGCAAAGGTAATCCACTTAGTCTCAGGTTTGCCCTTCTATGCTGATAGAAATGTAGGCGTGTCCAGCCTCAACTGAATTGCGGTGAAAGCTAAAACTCTGGGGACAGAGAACGAGCTGCAGCAGGAGTGATTGATGGACCCTCTGTACGTTTGAGACTGATGGGATGAGACTGTTCCAGACCTTCACCTCGCACTTCATTCTCCTCGTGTCACATTAATTTGAATTATTTAGCCTGTCCTAGACAGAGCATGCGATTTATTATTATTGTTCCAATTTTCAGTTGAGTCACAGAAATATGGTTAAGAGAGACTTTGCCAAGATAAACCCCAGTTCATTCTGCAGAACTGCTAAAAACCTGAGCAGAACATTATCTTAATTTTTCATATTTGCCATACTTCTCGTTAAGCTGCAAAAATAAACTCTGTTCTCCTCTCATAATTCTGTTTAAATTACTAAAGTATGGAGACAAATTGCAATACATAATCATGCGTGATGGCATAAAAAGTCCTGCCAGTATTAAGATTTATTTCTCATGTGTTTCATTTGCTTTCTTCCTAAACAACAGAGCATATGCTGATGCAGGACCCTCTGTTCAACACCCTGAACAAACGGCTGGAGAGGAAGCCGATTTTGCGAGGGACTCTGAAAAAATGGTGGAGTCCAGCAGTGGAGATGAGGGAGCCCAAGATGAAGGCGAAGAGGGGAAAAAAAAGAAACCACGCTCAGGATTTCGTGACCGCAAGGTAATCAATAAACTATCGGCTTGCAGCTGTTCAGTCACTCACTAGAACTGCGCCCAATAATCAATGAGCAATATGCAAATACTGGTGCATTTTGAACAACATTTACAGTGATATATGGAGGTAATCGGTGTGCATTTCCACTGTCATAAACAGCAGAAATGTATTACCCTGAGGGTTTTATAGCTTTTAATTAGGCATCAGATGAGAAAGGTAAAACAGAAGGAGATTTTCTTGCCAAATAAACACCTGCCTTTGCTTAGCTTATTATTATAAAAATGACTGAGGAGGAAGACTATAAGCAATAGAAGCCAGTTATTTTTTTTTTCTGTGAAATATGGGCCCATTTGACTGAATTATAACTGCAGATGTGAACATTGTGTAGTCAGGCCTTCATCTGCAGCAGCAGAAAACTTGGCAGACAGAAGTCTATGCTCTTAATGTTCTTGAACATATAGATTTTCAATATATGCAGGGAAGAGTACATAAACCTTAAACTAGTTTGATAGGGTTGTTTCTTTTGTGTTGCGCTGCAAACTATTTAAATCTAATACTATTTTTTTCTTAAAATGTGTATTTGTTTTCTTGAATTGAGCAGCTAAGTTAGACACTTTTCCAATGGAATAAGATGATTGTCATTTAGAACAAGAAAAAAGTGCCTAATATTTAATTATCTTATTTTTTTGCAAGGGTAACAAAATTATTATTATTATTTATCTACTCAATTGAAGGGCAAATACACTTATGTTAACAAATTTTTAGATAATTTTTGCAGTGTGAGAATGTGGTCTGGATATTTTAATGATTGGCTTTTTGTTTTTCTGCATTTAAGCTGTTAAAGGTTGCTTTCAAACTTTTGGTCATTACTGTCTCCCATGTAGCACCATGTTTTTTTTTATTAGAAAATGTTTTAACCTTCTATATCTTTACTCAGATATGTGGAATTACTGAGCCTCATTTCCAATGCAAAGACGTGCCCTAAATCTCAGTGTTATTATGTTGAGTCCATGTTTTGTAAATGCAGTAGCTTAAAGTACGCAAGAACTGTTGCTCACATTCTGCTGCACAGGCCTTTCTCAGGTCTTTTTTTCAGATGTGCTGCAGCTATAATTTTTTTTTTAATGCTCAGAAATACAGAATGTTTGTTTTCTTCCAAATTCCTCTGTGCCCTTGGAGAACAGCCCCTTATTCAGAACTGACCAAGGTAAAACTCTCGAGCTGTAACTAGCTAAAAGTACCAGGGTGAATTATTGATGGGGAGTTTTTGCTGAAAGTTTTATCTCCAAACTAACCGTGAAGCTTGTTTTTTCTTTTTACAGATGCAAGTCATGTTTTTCCCTCAGAGCTTTTGAGGAGCTTCTGATAACAACTGTTTTGCTGATATCTGATTAAGATGATGTTACGCATATTTGCAATTCTACCAGGTTCCTACAGTCCTTAAGTAGGATGTACCACAACGCTCTGGGTTTGTCAGTGGATATAGCTACCTTACCCATCACTGTAAATGGTATGCTAGGGGCTGACTTGCCTTTGTTGAGTGTAAGGCAGTATACTCACTGGATGGCATCCTCAGGCAATTCTTCTTACAGTAATTTGCTGTAACTTTGGCCCATTCCTCCTATAAGAATTGGTGTAATCCAGTCCGATTCGAAGGCTCATTCACCCTTACACACACTCTTAGCTTCTCACACTTTGAGACAGAGCTGAGCACTTTGTAAATGCCTCCCCAGAACATTGACCAGGTCACTCCTTCATATTTTGCAACTAATTTAGAACTTTACTGGCCATTTGGAAGACATATTACTACCAAAGCTTCAACTTTTTGTCTGATATATCGAGATGTTTCTTCACTACGTTGACGTAGTTTTGTTTCTTACTGATGCCATTTATTTTGTGGAAGACATCAGTCCTTACTACAGCAAAACACACCACATGTTTCTTCTATTCCCATACCATTTCTATTTTTCTGATATATCTCCACGGTCATGCTGTCTCAAATCACCAAGTAAAGACATGACAAGATTCAGCTAATGTTGAACTATAAATGTTGAAATATATGGGATAAAAACTGGAAAAGAAAAACGATTAATATATTTAGAGTCAAAAATAATTGCTTCCTGTTAACCCAAACTTCAGTTTTTTTGCTCAGAATTTGTTTCAGTTATGAGCCTCAAAAAAAATGTATGTGTGCTATTCTTCTACCACCCTCAGTCATGAATGAATTCAAACACATAAAAAAAACATCTAAATAAATAAAAAATATTTTGTTGATTTTGGATAACCTCTCTGTGTATTTAATCCTTTGCAATAAATCTTTAATGTTAAAGGTTGCTGAAATGTTAGGACTGAAAAACAGCTGAGCCTGATACCATAAGACTGATTAAATTCAACAGCATTACAAGTGAAGCAGAAAATAACACCTCTTTACTTGATCTGTGTCTGTTTACCTTTTTCACAAAATGGCTTTAACCAAATAGAACATATCGACATTCTGAAATACCTGAAGCTCTAAAACATGTTGTACTTTTCCGCAGGGAGTAGCTGTAGTAAACATATTTTTCTGTGTCATATGAAAAGATCACTTGGCTTCTAAACACACAGCTCTCTGTCAGTTTTCCAGCAATTCAGCATCTGTTTTCAAACACTCTGCTGAAAGTGGATGGTGCCTACAAACACTAGATGTGACTAATACTGTATGTGTAACAGAACTGAATAAATTAGTTTCCTGTTTTCAGAATCAGCAGGGCTAGTCATTGAAGCTGATAGTCCTGCTTGTGGGGTTGCAATAACTCGCCGGCCTTCGCTCATTTGTGGCTGTCAGTCATTCTGACCCTTAGAGAACCAACTTCCTGTTTTGATTGTGTTGCCTCAGTTAAAAGGTTAATATACCTCTCAATTGGAGCGGGCGTCTAACTTCTGGCTCCTTTACTCTGATTCATCATTCGCTCTCCCTGCACTCCAAACTCCTTTCTGTGTACAGTATGTGTTATAACTTTGATCTTAATGTTTCCCAGTTATGTAAGGATTTGCATTGTTTTGTTTTTTTTAATCCCTTGAACCTTACCATCACCTAAAATTACACATTTCACTTGACTGAGATCTTTTCTAATTTTTTTTTTTTTTAACAGAAATTTGTGGCCTGTAGAGCATCTTTGCTTATAGAGCATTCCTCTCCAAATCTTTCCAAATATTCTTAAAAAGAAATTTTACTGAGCTGTTCTCCAACAGATAAATATACCATTAAAAAACCAGCTCCAGCTGAATATGGTGGATAACTGGAGGATGAACTCCAAACACACTCAGTCTTTTATTGCCTTTAACAGATTTTCAATCAGAAATAACTTGTTTTACTTTATTATCTTGCTTTCCTGTTTTTAATTAAGTTAAAGAAAAATAATATAAAATAATATAAAACTTGGATCACAATACATTTCTTAATATTGCTTGACAGATATACCGTGTTTTCCATACTATAAGCCGCTACTTTTTTCCCACGCTTTGAACCATGCAGCTTTTCTGTGGATTTTTCCTAACTGCCAGGGGAGAGAAATCAAAGTATGAAATGAAAAAATAAGGGACTAATTTTCATTTAGCATAAGAACATGCTAGCAGTAGGCACAATGGAGAAAAAATATCCAGAATTCACACATTTTGACTTGCATTTGCCGCAATAAAGCCTCTGAACCAATGAAGAGACTGGGCTTAACTTCTGCAGAGCTAAAATAATGAGCTAATGAAGCCCCATATTTCAATAGAAGCTCTTACTGCTGCTTGCCAACAAGCTAACGGGAGCTAGCATTTTTCTTCGTCCCTACTCCAGGGGCTTTATGTAGAGCTCCCCCTACAGGTTTGGTGGGGGAAAGTTCAGTAGATATCTGCGGTTATAGCCTGGTGTGGCTCATATATATATATATATATATATATATATATATATATATATATATATATATATATATATATATATATATATGTGTGTATGTTTCCATTGTTTTGTTTTTTTGTTGTTCTTTTTTTCTATATTGGTGGCGGCTTTTTGTGAGGTGCGTTCTATATTCCGGAAAATAAAAGCCTCAGAAGAACTGACAAAGACAGCAACAACCTGGACCTTGTCAGACCAGATAGTTTTCTTCTAATTTTTTTCTCCCTTCGTGGTTTATGGCTAACTTTAGTAGACTTCTTTGGAAATTCTAGCAATATTGGCTTTTTTTCCTGAAAAGACGTCAAGTTAACAGGTTTTTTGCTTAAATGGTTGGCCACGTCTGTGCAGGTTTGCAGTGGTGCTTGATGGCTTTTTGTTTTCAAATTATGATTTGGATGAAGCTCCGGGAGAAGAGAGCTCGACATATTGTCCTGTAATTTAATCCAGAACTTCCTCCATCGCTTGTCTGGTGAATTTTCCACTCATCATAATGTTTTATCTTCATCACTGTTCCCTTACCAATGACTTCTCTAACTACTTTTCTGCTCAAACGGCTTGTGGCTAATTTTGCCTTTTGATTGCTTGGCAGGTGATGGAGTATGAGAACAGAATCAGAGCGTACTCGACTCCAGACAAGATTTTCCGCTACTTCGCCACACTGAAGGTCATCAACGAGCATGGAGACGCAGAGGTTTACATGACACCCCAGGACTTCATCCGCTCCATCACACCCAATGAGAAGCAGCCTGAGAGTAAGTTTCTCTGCTTCGTCTTTGGATGGTAGCATGTTTCTATCAACAGTCCAACATTTAGATTTACTTCCTCTAGTTTCATTGTAACCTGTTCAAATGAATATAAAGAGTATTTCAGAGCTAAATTAGATATTTAGACAGAAATATACACATTCAACATACTGTAAAGCAGAGTGATTGTTACTATGAACATTGCTCTTCTGCCTTAAAGCAAACCTGTTTTAAAATGGGGTTAAAGATGTTCTAAATAGATTTTTTTGTAAATACACACTAAGTCGAATACTGTAGATTATCTTTTCACTGCATCTACCCTTCAGCTTTTCAGTTAGATTTAGGTCTAGGGGCTGAGATGTAAAAGATTCCTCCATTATTTGGCCGCATTTTTTTCAATCATTATATGATGACATTTGTATATATGTTTTGGTACAGTTTAGCAGATTATTACTTAAGGTGTCATTGTATTTCAAATAAGTCCGCTTCATGTACTCTTGACAAAGTTCCCAGGTCCTTTTAGAGCAGACAGAGTACGAGAGTGGATGAGGTGCCTCTCTACAGATTCCTCTTTTGTTTTATGATGTACCCAAACAGACAGTTTGTTGCCAAAAACCCAATTTTCATCTCACGGTAGGAGAGGAATGACATTTTCCTGGCTGGCCTTCCAGTAAACCGATTGGCAGTGGAATGGCCTTTAATTATTGTTATGGCGGCTCGGTCTTTGCTGCTCTTCTCTAATCGCTTGGCTTTACCTTTGCACATCAGACTCCTCTTGGAGGGAATACTGATATCAAGAACGTCCTTGTGAAAGTTACAGCTGAACTTTACTTTACATATATATAGCTCACTGCAGTTTTCCTTTGGAGCTGTCGATGTCACTGCCAATAAAATGTCACCTTGTTCAGCAACTGGTAGATGAAGAAGAATCTATGAAAGTATAATCGTGTTATTTTAAACTCAAACTATTTGGTTTTATTTCAAATTCTTTTTTAATTGTTTCCGGACTCCCATGCTGCCCTACCCTGTGTGACTAACCCCACCCACAGGAAGCTACAGTAACGGGGAGGTAGCCTGCACCCGCCAGACCTCCTCTACTGACAGGGTCTCCTTTCTTCTTTCCAAATGAACATTATTGGGATAGAAATGGCCGAGATAAATCAGCTTATCTGGGAGCTTCTGAGACTACCCTGAGCCTTAATATTTGGTGTTATGGCAAAATAAGCTAGGTCCCTGTCCATCCTTTTTTTGACACAGCTAAACATTTTAACTGCTAAACAATCACCCTAAAAAATAAAGTGTACATCAGACGTGTTTATTTTCTTAACTGAGGTGCTTTTTCCCCCACTGACTCAACTGTATTAAAGTTTAATATTAAGCATTTCTAAATATTTGGTTGCAATGTTACAACTGCACCATAATAGTGAACTAATATAAAGGCTGTTTTTGTGCATCTTTCCTAATAAAAGTCAAGGAGGCTGTATAAGCGTTCCTTAATGGCTTCCCCTTTTCCATGCTTGCCCCATTAAGCTACAGGAACTCTTTACAAAAACTCTGTGGCAGCTCTTCATATAAAGGCACCTATAGCTGTGAGCATCTCAGGGGGCAGGTGGAAGGTTGGATGTCAGGGAATAACAACACAGCAGTTGCTTTATCAATTAGCCGGCCGAACCCAGAGCAGATATCAGGCGTCCATTGGACACCCAGACAGAGATTTGATCTTCACCCATGGAACCTTGTGAATGCATGGGGGGTTAACATGACATTTACATGTCTAAGCAGCAGACATGTTTTTCATTCAATGCTAAAAAAAAAATAATAATAATCTGCTTGATATGATTGACATGTTGTTAGTTAGATGTGCATCACAAGTTTAATGTTGAATTCACCTAATGTGAGGAATGTTACCTTTGAGGCAATGATTCACAATTAATAAGAACTTATTATAGCCTGACACCTTTACACCGACCTTCCTCACTCAGCTCACCACCTTCATCTTTTAATCACCTTCAAGGCTACTTCTAGCCTGGCCCTTTATTAAACTTTAAAGGCTGGATCTAGGGCCTTTCCTCTGTGGTTTGTGGTGTCTAAGCTCTCTAAAGACTAGAACAGGCCATAGTTTACTGAGCTTCATAAAAATGAACTATTTCTCTCTTGCTTCCTTTGACCCATCAAACAGATCTACTTTAAACTTTGCACTGTATTGTGTAAGCTGTATTGTGCTTTTATTTTATTTTTTTTAGCAGTAGAATGTTTTTTTGTCTGTTTAACTAAAGATAAGATTTTGATTTTATATGAAGGCTAAACTAAGATTTACTGGATAAATTAAGTGCTTTGCAAAAGTACTAATACCTCATTTGGTCACTTTGCAACCACAAATTTTAATGTATATCATTGGGAGTCTTTTTGATGGATAAACACAAACAGACTATCAGTCCCTGTTTTTTTTTGTTTTTGTTTTTTAGTAAACTATTATTTTGACTTGATTATTTGTGTATTTATTATTATTTGAAATCACAAACTCAATTCAACCAGTTACCTTAAGACACCTCCTAATCTGTAAATTAAGGTGATCTGTGAGTGAAGTAATCCCAGTATCAATTTGCTGTTCAGTAAAAACTCCAAATTTTTATCTTAACAGTAGTGAACAAGTTTAACCAGGGTTTGGTTATAAGATAACAGCAAAACAGCCATGATTTGAACATCTCATAGACCTTAGTTCAAATCCCTAATCTGAAAATGTAAACATTTTCACACAACTGCAATCCTACCAAGATATTAGCCTCCATAATCCAGAGCATTATTCAGAGATGCAGATAACAGGTCCTTGGTAAATTGGAGGATCTGCTGAGATGAAGATGACCATTGGAAATTTTCCACAAGCTTGGTAGGGAAAGATTAAAGTCAAAGGTGTCATGGTCAAACAAAATAAAAATAAACAATAACAAAGTATAGCTTTTTGGTCTCCTTCCACAGTGCTATGTTGACCAGAAAATTATTAGGAGCATGCTATGCCCAGATGTTAGTGAAGCTGTGGGATATAAGTGTGTATATGTATATATATATTTATATATTAGTTAATTAAATTCTCTAAACATACAGACATTCTTTTGACTGAAGTATTTCATGATTTGATGGCCTACATTTTAATCTAATTGAGAATTTTTGGCAACACCTACAAAGCTGATGCTCATAGTCGACCTTTGTCATTCTGACTGGGTTAGAGCTTCGGTCTCTAGAGCAAAGCTGGTTGAGACCTACCCTAAAAATAGGAGACTTGTTTTATGCAAACTAGTACAGCTGAGAGCTGAATGCGAGCCACTCTTCTCTAAAACACAATATGGGTTTTACTTCACAGTAATGCATGACTTTGTGTTTAAACAAAAAGTCTTGGTAAAATGTTCTGAGGTTTGTGGTTGTAGAGCATATCTGAAACAGGTCAAATGGTATCAGTGCAGGATCTGTACATTTCTGACCACATTCATTCTGAACTCGGCACCTAAAGCTCTAAATTCTGCACATCTTTGTTTCTTTATCGGTGACTAACAACATCCAGCAGATAAATATGACAGGCTGCAAAATATTTTGTTAACGTGGTTTAGGGGATTTTTAAAATCTTTTTTTGGTTCAATTAGTTATATCCTGAATATTTCGTTTTATTTTTTCAGTGATACTTAAAACCTTAATATAAATTCTCCTATTTGTCATCCAAAGCACTCTGTAATATGTGAGCATGAGGATAGTAAACTCTAAATGCAGATGACTGTTTACCTAAAAGAATTGGAGCAGTGGAAATGGGTTGTTAATGGCTGTCATCCATCTCTATCGGGGTCATTGATTTAAGGAGGTTCAGTAATGACACAGAATCATCTCCTAGCTTTAAGCTTTACATAACTCTCTGCCCCCTGTGAGAATAACTAGTCTCCTTAATATCTGCTTTAAGACTCTTCCTGCTAATTTGCATATCTTTGTTTAATGTGTCATCCTCAGATCTTGGCCTGGATCAGTTCCTAGTGAAGCGCTACGATGGGAAGGTAAGAAAGGGGGGTCTGGTTTTTCAGGGGGGGATACAGTTAAGTCGGCAAAGGTTGTAACTATCAAGCTATCAAGGTTTATCTGGCTTGCATTTTATTTCAATTTTTGCACTAATATACATTTTTATTCAGATCATTAATATGAAATATGCTGGTAAATATTCTCAGTCATCCAAGTCATAGTCAAAAAAGTTAAAAAAACAATTAATTGGACTTTGTTTCCAAGTTTGAAGATGTTTTGCTTCCCATCCAGAAAGCTTTTTAATTCAAATGTCAGAAATAACGTTAAGTTGCTTTGCAAACAAAGCCTTGTTTTTGCGTAGACAACATGCAAATTGAAACGGACGAACATGTCCACCCCGTTTCAACGGGCGTCATTTGGCTTCTTCTGTTAAGCTCTAATGCCCCATATCTGTCTGTCAACACTATTTTGAATTGAAAAAGCTTCCTGGATGGGAAGCGAAACATCTTCAAACTTGGAAACAAAGTCCATTGGATTATTTTAATTTTTTTGGAATTAACATGAAAACTACTTAATTACCACCTAAATGTCATGTATTTGTTTGGAAAACAGCTTTCATCTTTCAGTTCTTTATTTTTCTCCACATTTGTAAAAGACTTCAGAGATTTATGTGAGAAATTTTAACATTTTGTTAAAAATTTTAGAAGTTCATCTTAAAGCTCACTAAACTATAGACTTAAATAATGAACTATAAATATAGGTTTGACAATATAATATTTAATGTGTATTTTAAAAAACAAGCCCTATAAAAACTCATCCTGTGATGATACCAATAAACTAACCAGGCTGTGTTTTCTACAATAGGAATCAACAAATATCGCTCTAATTGTTACTTTACACTATTATGATGCACATTGCACATACAATGACATATTGTTTTAGTGCAACCTTTTTATTTATTATAGGTATTGGTACTACATTTTTTCTCTTTGTTACAACAGCAAACTTAAATTCATTGTAGTGGGGTATTATCAGCTAGCACCAAGTATTATATCATACTAAAATGGAGGATATGCAGGATGCAGCGTTTTTAAAATTAAAAACAAATAAATCTTAGTAAATTCTAACTGGAAAAAAAATTATGAAAATCCATCCATGACTGTTTGTTATTTTTTAAAACAGACTAACCAACATAATCTGCTTGGCAGAGATTTTTAACTTCAGAGATCACTCAGCTTAGCTGTGTGTGATTAAGCCTTATTTTTTTTTTCTTTTATTATCTAACATGAGTAAACACCAGGGTGACTCTGGAGGAGATACAAAGTTCTTAGCTCAGTTTCTTAGCTGGAAAATTTAATTTAATCTATTTGTTGAAGACTAGCCCATAGAAGTCCTTCAAAAAAAGCTAGAATAGACCTGTTAGCAGTTTACACAAGTCATACAGGGGAAATGGTAAAGAAAAGAGTTCAGATGAAACCTAAATTTAACTTCATTTTGACAATATGCAGTACTCCTTGTGTGGTAGAAAATGAAAAGTCCCTGAACATGAAGTGAAACGTCACAGTGGTAACATCAGATTGTGGGAATGATTATCTTCAACGGGGGCTGAGAGGCTGGTTAGAGTTGCTGGGAACTCAGCAAAACTGGAATAATAGCTGTTAGAGGGTAGAAAACACCCAGGAGCGGTGCAGAGGTTCACCTTCAAGCTGGGTAGTGGCAGTAGACATACAGCCAGAGTTAAAATAAAATGGTTTAGATCAGTGATTCTCTTCGCCGGTCCTTGAACTCCACTAGGTTTTTTCCTTCTTCAGCAATCCCCATTTAAAGTAAATGGGTGCTTCCTCATCTTCTAATGGCACAATGAGAAGATAATGCAATCATTTGAATCAGTTTTGCTGGAGCAGATAAACATCTAAATATGAAGGACAGTTTGAGCAGAGTATTGGTCCTGGAAACTGTTTTAGTTTAAAGCATAATAATTGTTTTTTATTGGGTCTAGACAAAGCCCAGAGAAACTATTATAAAACTGTGGCAAGACCTCAAAGTTAATATATATGTCGTTTATATGTCATCGACTAAACTTACTGTTTTAATAAGAATGGGGGGGAAGTGTCTGTCTATAGATGTGCAAAAATTTAAAAACCAAACCCCTAAAAGCTGCAGCTGACCAATCTAACTTTTCAGATTTTTTTAATAGAATAGAAAATCCTTTTATTTTTGCACAATAGGGAAATTCTGGTTTTTACAGCAGCAAAATGATTATAGAAAAAAATGTTATACATATATGGACCCTAGAAAAATATATAAGAAAACATACTAGTGAAAAGTTAAAGGATAAACAATAA